GAAGCTCGTGCGCGAGAATTGACGTCATCCATAGCAACGAAGACTCACTCTTAGTTTTAGAGTTGTCATTTTTCCTTACAAAGAGTAGGTCTGAAAGACGTTGTGTATAACTTTTAAGAGAAAACTCCTGGCTAAAATATTTTAGTGCAATTTAGGAGTACACAAATTCTTTGTTAATACAGCCTCATTTGTACATCTGGACATTGGACCTCTTGTTGTTAAGTTTCACAATGTATCTATAACCTACTTTTGTATTCAGTCTTTGCTTAAGAGACAATGTTGCCTTCATTAATACACTTTAAATCGATTGTTTATTGGCTTCACGTCCAATGATGTGTTAGGGAATCACTTGAGATCTGCCTCATTTAACATATTCATTCTGACTGATTAATACAGTGTGTTCGATATGTCAAACTATAATAAGTTTGACCACGTTAATGTTCTCATGCTCATGATTTAAGTTTTTTGCTGGCTGCTATCAATATATTGAAATTCATTTCACTCTGTTTTTTTCAAGACCATGCCAGTTTTACTGGACTACCGGCAGCTTTTACAGTTATTTTTATTAAAAGAATTGTGCTAAATCTCTTTTATCTGGATGCTTGGATCATTGTTAAATCTGTCAGGCGTGTTGAGAACAACAGAAGTGAAAAGCACAGCTAATGTTTGATGCTTCTGAGTGGAGAATGGAGGGTCTGGTATAACTGGTTTACACAACGCATTAAAGGATCACTTTACAGCCGTTTCTTTGTAACGTGAGAGGAACGAAAGCTCTGCTCTAGTAGGAAGTACAATGTTCGATTTTCTCCCTGCAATTTTGACCCAGAGTACTGCAGTTTAGTGAACACACGCCCTGTGTTTGCCGGATCAACAGCGTATCCCAATGAATCTTTAATGACCGCTTTAGAAGTCGTAATGGCTGGTCAGTAATGTCCATTAATGATTTCTGAATGCAGCTGGCCCCGCCTTGATGGCCACTCGTCTGTTCCATTAGGATTTCTTTTAGTATGGTAAAAACTTTGAAAACATCTTCCTGCTTGCAGTGAATCATCACTGTCTTCCTGCTTTATACTTTCCACAATTTAACTGTGAAATATGACATTTCCTCTAAGAAAATCCACATCAGGTAAGAATTATCTTCACTTTTTCTGCTCTTCGGTTTAAGGAATATTTAGAGTCGTGTAGTTCACCTGCTGTGTATTGCTTTCATTGGGTTTGACTGGTTTTACTTCAGTCTCGAAGTTGTCTGTGGGATATCAGCTTGTTGGTGCTGTCCGAGGTGCTGAACTGCAGATAAAGCTGCACTAGTCTTCTTTCTTTCTTGAATTTCTATTCATTCTTACACTCTTCTTTTTATCTTAGTCTTGTTTTGTTTCATTTAGGCTTTGTAGTATGTATTTGTAAAGATTAAGGGACATGATTTTAATTTAAAGAACATTTCAAATAATATTTTACCCTAATTTTATACTAAAATTGCTTTTTCTATGTGGACTGAATCACATTTTGTGGACCTCAGAATCGATGCTTTAGCTAAACTGATGTTTGTCACTGACATAAGACGGACAGAAATAGTTTTCCTGCTTTTTATTTTCAGAATAACTTTGCAATACTTGAGGAATATAATTCTATAAAAATCGTATTATTATTAGGCTATTATTCTTTCGTTACATTCGTAAGGCGTTCTGATATTTGTCGTCAGTCCAAACGTTTAGTCTAGTTGTTATTGCGTTTCATAATGTCCTGATTGTACACTAGATGGCGCTGTTGATGAAGATATAATATCCCGTTTCTGAATGAGCAGGGCAAGTTGCTGAGGTGTGTGTGTGCTTGGCCGTTCAATGGCTCATTTTACTGGATTTTTCTTAGACCTTTGAATCCCACGGATTAGTGCAATGCCAATACGTTTGTACAAGATCTTATTCAACAAATATATTATTTTGTAGGCTAAATATTATCTTTTCAGTAATAAAGTAGCAAAACAATTATAGAATGCCTAAACACTGTTTTTAATATCCATCATACCTCTCGGATTTCTTGAAATGTAAATAAAAACAAACATTTAAAATATTGTGCAGTGCAAATATTGCATGTTATTATGAGTGGGCCAGAAGACAGAATGTGTTTTTGCCACGCATGCAGGAAACTCACTGCCATGGCAACCACTGCTCCAATCAGGACATTGCTATTCTGTATCCACGCGATTCTTAATGTTTTGAGAAAGAAACATTACATGACTAGTATGTAACTCTCTTAGCACTTTATAAAGCTTCAAGATCTCCAGTTCACTTGCAACTGTTACATTTGTGTGCGTCACCGTCTCCCTGCGAGTAGATCCGGCTGACCGCCTCCCTGTGTTAAATATTGATCAATTGCGCTCTTCTAGTCACCTAGCTAGCTTGCTGTTCTATGGGATGAATATAATATCAAAATAATTAACACGTGCAAGCACAAATATCAATGAACTTGATTAATGTTGCATCAATGTTCATTAATGTTGATTAATGTTACTCCACAACCAAATGCCTTTCAACTTGCGTGTGCAAAATTCTAAATTGAATGAATCTGTTGCGATTTGTACAAATGGAGACATTTTTGTGAATACAAATGTTTTATTTTGTATTAGTGTATCATAATTTGCACTTGCAACAAAGAAGATGTGTGTGGATCTGGTGACGCGCATGCATTCATTGACGTCTTTTCTGAGTCATTTAATTCAGTCTCATTTGATTCATTTGAATTGTGAGACTTTCTTTTCGCGTTTTTTAAGGATTTCACAACCCACACTACAAATGAATAGGACTGGTGCTAGTTATTAATGTAGGCACAACTACACATCTCTATTTGACAAATTTTCGTGTGTGTGCAAAATTCAGAATCTGCTGTAGCCTTGTTAATACAAAACCTCGATTTTGTATTAATGTAGCTCAGAATTTACGCATGCAACAAGTAAGGTGTGCAATTGTGGATGAGGTCGGTGACACTCGTGCTTTCATTGACTTGTTTCTGAGTCGATCCTATTTGATTCATTTGGATTTTGAGACTTTCATTTCGCTGGTTTATTGGACGAACGATCCACACACACTGTCTGAGAAACCTGCTACCACTAGATGGCAGTATTCTGCTAAAACCAACAGATGACGGCGATGGAGATCGATCGATCTTCCCCATTTACGCTTAATGTGAGTGATATTATTGAAGCACCAAATTTAGAACACAATGTAGGCCTACCTTATTAATAAAGTTATTAACGGATTAAATCAGATTATGAACAACACCCATAGAAAACCAGTATACAATGCTTAACGTGCAATAGTGCATTGCATGTTCAATAAGGTATATCACCGTACTGCATTGACGTTACACTTTCTTTATAATTGTATAGCCTACAGACAATAGCATGTAGGCTAGGGTGACCAACATTAATGTTTTCCCACGACATGTCCTGTTTTCACGTCCTGCCCTGGCCGTCCTGGCTGGTTTTTATAAAGTGATGAAAATGTCCTGGTTTTCAAAAAACTGCTGGGAAAGATCAGCTTTACAGCTAAATATTGATCAATAAACAAGGAGGATCAGGAAGAAAAACAATATAAAGAGGAAGAAAACTAAAGATGTAAATATCTTTTGTTCATTTTTGTAAGTTTGTGAGAGCTATTTTTGTTCAATTTGGAGGTATTTCTTTTAGTTATTTATTATTTTTATTTTTATTTTTCTAATACAGAAGAGACATTATTTCTGTCATTATTTTTGAAACCTGTCATAATAAAACATGTTGAGTAACCTATAAGAAGCTTATCTGATTTTGTGTCTTATAATATAACAATTTTCTATCCATTCACAGGAGGCAGCCTACTTTAAATCTATTGAAATTAATATAGCATCTTTGAGTAAACTTCAAGTATCTTTTGAGTATCTGTTTGCCGGGCCGAGTGTCCTGGTTTTTGGTAATCAAAATATGGTCACCCTACTGTATATATAGCCTGTATATACAGACGACAGCAGCATAATCAATCGATCTTCCCCATTTACGCTTACTGTGAGTGATATTGAATGTGAGTGATACTGAATGTGATATGTATGTATATATACACTCACCTAAAGGATTATTAGAACCATCTGTTCCAAATGCTTCCTAAGGCGTCAGTTGGGTGACGCCTTGGGAGTGAGAATGGGCTGTCTGTTCAATTTCTCATTAATGCAATTATCTAATCAAACAATCATATGGCAGTTGGGGCGATCTGAGTATTTCACAGTCTGCTCAGTTACTGGGATTTTCACACACAACCATGTCTAGGGTTTACAAAGAATGATGTGAAAACTGAAAAGAGAAAAACATCCAGCATGCGGCAGTCCTGTGGGCAAAAATGCCTTGTTGATGGTAAAGGTCAGAGGAGAATGGGGCGACTGATTCAAGCTGATAGAAGAGCAACTTTGACTGAAATAACCACTCGTTATAAACGAGGTATGCAGCAAAGCATTTGTGAAGCCACAACACGCACAACCTTGAGGCGGATGGGCTACAACAGCAGAAGACCCCACCGAGTACCACTCATCTCCACTAACATGAAAAAGAGGCTACAATTTGCAAGAGCTCACCAAAATTTGACAATTGAAGACTGGAAAAATGTTGCCTGGTCTGATGTTTCTTGATTTCTGTTGAGACATTCAGATGGTAGAATTTGGCATAAACAGAATGAGAACATGGATGCATCTTGCCTTGTTATATGGTGTTCCTAAGGTGAGAGTATATTTGCATTTCCCTAAAATAATTAAAAAAAAATTAAATTAATTTAGTTTTTAATAAACAATCTATTTATTACAGGGACATACGGATTACAATAAAGACCAATATACTTAAAATTTAACCAACTTAAAAATAATTAGTTAAAATAGCCGTATCTACGCCATGGCGTAAATGAATTTCTGAATCGCTTTAAACGATTCTTGGAATTGAACTGTCCAAAAGAACCGATTCGCGGCATAAATGAGTAGGACTTATACCACAACTGAACAACTCTGTTTCTGTCCTCTCATTGACTTATTTATTTTCCCGCAGTTGATCATCATGATTCATCCGTACTACGTACAGACTTGCTAGAAACTTTTCGCTCTCGTTGTAGTTGTCTGGGTGTACATTCAGATGATTAACTGAAAACAAACTCTCGCTCACACGCCCACACACACAAAGCGCGCGCACGGCTCGCTAACAGGTGTTTCTCTCTCATGGCTCTGTGCTGAGACTGTGACTGAATGCTTCGTCGTGGGATGCCGCGCAACGTGTTTGGTGTCTGGAGGAACATCTCCGTTATTTGTCGAAATGGTAAGGTAGTGACATTATCAAGAGACAGGTGCGGTAAGACCCCAGGCAACTGAATGTTGAGCCGTCAAAGGACTTTATCTCCGAAGAAAAATGAGCGTTGAAGAGATGCGCCGTCACCTGCATAATTTTGTTTTGTATTAACGCCGTTTTAAACTCTTTTCTGGCGATCTGTCACAATGGTGGTCTCTGGTGTATGAAGACTTGGATGTGAGCTTACGAGTTAAATATTCCCCTTAAGAAATTGTGCTGTGGAGTAAGTGGGGAAACGGATAGTGTCCTCTGAAAGTTTGGTTGTCGCACCGTCAAACTGGCCATGGCTGCAGCGATCGCCAGCTCCCTGATTCGGCAGAAGAGGCAGGCAAGGGAGCGTGAGAAATCCAACGCCTGCCGCTGCGTGAGCAGTCCGAACAAAACCAAAGGAACATGCGAAAAACCCAGTCGTCTAAGTGTTTTCTCCAGGGTCAAGTTGTTCGGCTCCAAAAAGCGCAGACGACGACGACCAGGTCTGATGTTGTTAATGTCCTATCTTAATACGGCCATTGTATAACAGAATCGCTATCAATGCATTTGTGTACTTTTCAAAACATGTGGACTCTATCTATCTATCTATCTATCTATCTATCTATCTATCTATCTATCTATCTATCTATCTATCTATCTATCTATCTATCTATCTATCTATCTATCTATCTATCTATCTATCTATCTCATTCATTCATTCAGCACAACTGTTAACTTGCATGCGTGTAGTCTCAATTACCTTGCTTTCCTCCCCAGACAGCATCTTACATAACCCTTGTCAGAAGTTTGTGTTATGCGTGTATAGAGTAGCAGCTGTTTACAGCAGTGATGTTCTGTTCACATGGACTAACACTTTATGTAAACTTAAAAATGTTTTCAAATAGGCTACACACTACGTTTGACATGTTGAGGAGTGATACCTTTGCAAATCTGTACTCTTTCGCACTCTTATTGAGCCGTTCGTATTGGATCTGTACTATACTATAGCATCTGTATGATAGTTTATTTTGGTTTATTCTAAATTGGTATATAGGCTTATTTGAAATATTCAGATTTTCTTTGTGTTTTCTTGACTGAAATGTAGGGTGTGTTATAGTTTGTAATATCATATGTAACCTTAAATTCACACATGTTTTAATCTCCTATGATAAATGAAAATTAATCAGTGTTAAGAGCATCACCAACTTACTAAGCCTGATTAACTACATATCTGCTAATGCAATTGCAATCTGGTATTTTGCGCAGGAGATACGTGTTTTTTTTTTTTTTTTAGTAATGCAGATCAGATCCATTTAAAATGATATTGCTCTGTTCATCTACATATCCACATGAATTCTTGTCATGGCCAGAAGACTGCAGTTTCTTTGCAAATTGTAGCTCTTACCAATTTTCTGTGTGGTGACTGTGGTGACTAGCTATATCAATGTTGAAATCTTTATTTTTTGTTGCTGTTGTCTGTGTGGACTGTTGTTTGTAATGCATACAGGCTCAAATCTGTAGACTATGGATTGCTCTTGCTGAACCAGAAGCTTTGAAGCCCCTAACACTGTCACTGTGGCAATGCCTGTTTAACCTGGTTCTCTCTCTCTACCTTCTGTCTGTTTGCAGAGCCCCAGCTGAAGGGGATCGTAACGAAGCTGTACAGTCGACAGGGCTTTCATTTGCAACTCCAAGCAGATGGAACCATTGACGGCACTAAAGAGGAGGACAGTGGTTTCAGTAAGTCAGCTGGCATGTTGTCAGAATGTGTTTTCAAATTTTCACCTACACCCAGGCACAGCTTGAGGTTCAGTGGAAACAAGGAAGTACCAGATTAAAATAGAGTGGCTCCCAAAAAAGTATTTGGACACTTTGTTTTATGAATGTTTTTGCGTCAAACCAAATGGCATTTCATTTTTGAAAGACATATATAGAGACTTTTCAAGCAAATATTTTTTTGGGTTTCAAATGATATAGCAAAAAAATTTAGAATAAATAAATAATAATAAAAAAAAAACATTTGTCCATACTAGTTACTCAGCTAGTACACTGATTCATACTTCCTTAGACCAGCTGGTTAAAAGTGGTTACAAAAAATGGCTCAGGAAAGTGAAGTTGGTTGGTTCTGGTCTTGCATTATTTATCTAATGCGATAACAGCCAGACATTTGGGAGTGTGACTTGTGTCCAAATTTCTTATCTTTTTGGGCCACGGTGTGCCTGGTATTGTATTTCAATGATGGCTGTTGTTGTTATTTATTCCTGTACACTGACTCTTCATTCAGATTTCTGCCTTATACCTACACTTCTAGACAGCTTCAGCTTTGCAATTTATAATACCTTTTCAGTTCCTGTATCGGTCAGAAGAGTTAAGAGGGTCAGTTCTGTATTATCCTGAAATGGAAAATTCACCAGGAGCAGTCGCATAAAACTACCATTCTTCAGAAAACAATTATTCTGAGAGCACAGTTAATGTAGCTGGAAAGACCAAGTACAAGAGAAACATTTTAGGCAGATGTCCATAATGCCTGAGAAACTACTTTTTCTCCGCTTTCATCCACAAATTATTTGTGCCATTTGAAGTCATCTTACTGGGCACATGCAAGTGTGAATTATTTAGTCCGTAGGCAAGTGCGGCGTCACCCAGTCGGTGTTAGAGCTATACTGCGTATAGGAGACGGCTGGCTGGTTGGCAGAGCTCTAATTTAATATGTGCTATATCTCACTGACGCTAAGTGTCTGTGGCATTCTGGGGCCTGTAAATTAGCTTGACTCTCTATTCAATTAGTCACTGGGTGAAGATGACGCTCATGTCGAGCAAATGAGTTTGTGGTGATCGGAGTCATTTGGAACTGTGATCACTCAAGGCTCCAAATCCTCTCATTCATCAAGCTCATCTAGATTAACACACATTTGTAAACAATGTTTAACATGAAGAGCCATGCTAATTGGTAAGAACACCCCCTTCCTGAATTTAAATAGTGGTTGTTTGACTCAAGTATACATGTTTTACTCACCCTTGAGTTGCACTGGTGCAATTGGCCACTCCTCCTTCATTGCATGCTCATTTATTTTCTTGTCTGTATTCTTCCCCTGTGTGATTGACTGTAAGGTAAAATGAGTTATATAGGGGTGAGATTAGATAATAGAAGCTGACCTGCTTTTCCCACCACACTCCCTTATTTTGTGGAGAGAATGAAAAGCTGTTGCTGGAGAGGAGAAGTGGGAAAACAGGGAGCTTCTATCTCTCACGCTACAAAAATAGAATTGTTAGGAGCTTGGTGCCCGTGTCTCCATAGCGACGCAGTGCAGTCCTCTTGGCTCTTCTCTTGGTGTGTGTGTGTGTGTGTGTGAGATAGGGATGAGGGTCTGCTCCAATGCTGTCTTTACTCTATTGGTGTATGCCTCTTACCATATCTCTTTGACTGTTGTTCTTTGCACTTCAGTGAAGTGCCAAGTTATGTCATTGCTTCACTTAAATCACTTAAATATCACATAAGTGCCAGGTTTAATGTGTGTTACAGCATATCTCAGCCAAATACTAATTATTTTTGCCCTGAAGTCATGCCATTCTGCTATAAATAATGGAGGTTGGCAAATCCCTTTACTTAAAAAAAAGTTAAATAAATAAATAAAAATAAATGTTTTTCTAACTTTGTGAGAAATGACAGCGATAATGAGAAGCTCCCATTCCCATTTGCTAACGGTGGATCATATTTGATTTTATTATATGAAATTGGGCCAGGGGGTTGGAAAGTAGACAAAGATCTTATTGAAAATCAGCCTTTCCATCTCTCAAGTCTGACTGTGAAGAGCTCTTTGGAGGAACAGGAGTCAGGACAAAAGCTCATTCTGGGCAGTGAATGTCAGGTATGGCTGCTATATTGGATTATGTCTCTGTGCAGAGTTTTAGAGGTTAATTCAATTCCTAATCAATATGCCGGAACTTTGCAAGTTAACACAAAGCAACTTTGCTGTGTCTGTAAAACCAGGCAGTAATGTTATATGTGAACTTTAAGGTTTTTCACCCATGTTTTCAGTGATTGGTGCTGTAGGAGAAGTGCTTTTTTGAATTCTGATGGTTGTTATATTAGCGTTTTTGCAGAGAAGATTATTGTGCCCTCTTGATCTTCCCAAATCTCTGTGCTCAGGTGCTCTATTAGGTGTGAGTAATTGAGTCTTCTCTCCACAACCCCCAGCGACTAAGCTCTGTTAATCCCTCTGAAATGAAGTCTGCCGTAACCCTGTGGTTATGTGTGCATAAAAACTCTTCATATGAACTCAGTGGCTGTAAAGCACAGAGCAGGAAAAGGGCTGATCTCTACAGGTGGACCTGGCTGGTGTCAGAGGGGTTCAGAGAGAAGAGGAAGGACCTTGATGTTGGATTAGAGGGGATGGAGAAATCTCTGGACTGTTGTATAAAATCGCAACATGGCCATCTATTGAGCTCTGCAGGAAAGAAAAAAAAATATTAATCAAGAGCTTTCATGTTTATGATGAAAGGCAGAAGGGGTTACTGTTTATGTTCTCTCTGGAGAATGAGGAAGTATGAATGTGGGCTGAGTTAAAGTTGTTCGTTCAGACAGATTATAAATTAGATTAGAGAGTGTAAATATTGACAAATGTTTTTTCAGGTGGACATTTTTTCCTTTAAAGGGATACTTCATTCAAAAATCTAAATTTTGAAATCACTTTATTTAGTTCTAAACAACTTTAATTTCTCAACTTTCATTCTTCTTAAAGCGTTTTGTTTCAGTTATTCATTTATATAGCACCTTACTTACTAGGGGTGGGGAAAAAATCAATTCTCGATGCATCGCGATGCGGACGTGGACGATCCTGAATCGATTCACAAATGTCAAATAATCGATTTTCAAAACAAAACAAAAAATGTGGAAATATTTTGGCTTCTGAAGTTGAAGGGGAAAGGAGCTGGACAAGAGCCGCACTAGTTGCAGCCTTTGTGGAATAAAACCAACGACGGAAACACGACAAATATGAGAACCCATATGACCCGTTTCCAGCCAGAAGAGGAAAAATAATTGGCTGTACCAGTTATATTATTATAAAAAAAATATGTCAGTGCCATTGTTTTGTCCCAAGATTCCCACCACCAGTATTGTTTTTTCTAAGGCACGTATTGAAAAGCTACTTAAATGTCCTAGTTGAACTAAAGCCTTATCCTGTCCTAATCTAAGCCCTGTTTTGGGAAATGATCTCTTTATATCATGATCGCTTTTTCAAATATACTTTCATGGAGGGATAGAGAACAGTCAGGTTTCATTCAAATATCTTTATTTGCGTTTTGAACAAAAGTCTTATGGGTTCAGTGACAGAAGGATAAATAGTTGATAAGAAAACTCTTAAAAAATAAATTACATAATAATTCGCTTTTTTGTTGACCAGTTTTTTTTAAATTGCATGAGTCTGAGAGTACGTGACAAATTGTTCATTTTATAGTGAAGAGATGAAGGATAGGTGATGCAAGTATGTATTCTTAACTCAAAATATTGTTCTTTAATATCTTGTGCGATTGCCATCAAGGCAGTATATATTTGGTAATCTAGATCAGTGTGCATTGATTTCTTTATATACACACACACACACACACACACACACATTTACTCTTTCTCTCTCTTTAAAAAAAGCAGCCTTTCGCTTTACAAGTTTGTTTCCTTCTTGTGTTTTTTTTTTTTTTTTAATCAAGCTAGGTTACATAACCAGTGAAATGGCTCACACTTTTTTTTTTCTTTCAAAAAGCTTGTGCTGTTTTCTTCCCAAGCTTATGTTCCTCAAATACTCCCAGTGTCAGGGGTGGCTGGCTGGCTGCTTCACTCTTCCCACTGGCAGAAAGAGGCTGTGTGGATGGGAGAGATTGTCAGCTTTATGGCTTACATGGTGACGGGGGGGACAAAGGTGTGAGGAGAGTTGGCACAGCCAGTGGTACCCTGAAGCCCGAGCCCTGCGCAGCTCACTAACTCTGCTCAAAAGAGAGAGAATGTGTCAAAGAGACAGAGGGAAGAGTGTGAAACAAGACAGACAGAGAGAGCGTGTGTGAAAGGGAAAACGAGGAAGCATGTTAAAGAGGCGGCAGTAAATTTAACCAGAACAAAGCATTATTCAACAAAAAAAAAGGTTTCAAAATCCTTTTTCCTGTACGTAATAACTTTTTTTCTCTCTGAAGCAATTTTTCTACTAAAAAAACAAATAGACAGAGACCACCAGATTATTTATGATGAGGATGCATATCTGCATTCTCAGACTCATTCTGCTTACATTTTTGTGGTATGTCCACCTCTCAGTCAGTGACACTTTATTAATTTCTGGGGGCTATGCAAGAATTTTGCTATGCATGTGAACACTTCAAATGAACTCAAACCATCTCAGTTATAAAGTTAATAACGAAAAATTATGTTAGAAATTAGAATAATGATTGACAACAACTCATCTGACAGCAGATACTGAATCAGAACACCACGTTTTCCTCGGGCATTAATTACTTAAACTGCACTTCACGCATGCCTTTCAGAATAACAGTCTCAAAAACATTTAGAATTACGTGTTTTGTTTATTTGACAAAAAAATTCTGCGACCCACTTAAATCGGTCTTGCGAACTATCGTTTAAGAAATACAGCTATAGGTTACTATATAAACTACATGATAGTGATATCCTAATTAATTAGCTGTACTCTGCATAAATGTTTGAAAATATAATTGTCTTTTCTTGTTTCCTATACAGCCATGTTCAATCTCATCCCAGTGGGCTTGCGAGTGGTGGCCATCCAGGGAGTGCAGACCAAACTCTATCTGGCCATGAACAGTGAGGGCTACCTGTATACATCAGTAAGTTACTGCAAGTTCCTATATAGAAGTTTGTTTATGTTTTAAAGGGGTCATGAACAGCATTGTTTTATTGTTTCATAATATTTCTTGGGGTGCATTTATAATGTTAGTATGATTTTACTTCAAAAATTGTCATAATGTAGAAATAAAAGGCATTTTTCCTACCCTTATTTTTGCCCTCTGGTTTTGAACGCTCTGTTTGAAGGGACGTGTGCTGTGAGACTTTAGTGTAAATGGTGCTGTGATTGGCTTTGCATGTGAAATAGCTAGTATTACATGTGGAACTCTCTCAAATCTTTTAGCATGCTTTTAAAGCTCTCAAGGTTAACTAATCATGTAAAGTTATAATTAACATTACAATCAGATCTATGGCCAGTGTTGTGCCTGAACGCTTTCATGAACTCATTCATATTTTGGGCGAACGTGAACTGAACGTACTGTATTACTGCCTGATGAATGTTGCTGTGAACTCGTTCGTTCTGGTGTCTGTGAATGCACGCTCTCTCAGTTTAACTTCGTTCAATAGGTTTCCAGATTTATATAGAGTCTTCCAGGAGAAAACCCAGCTAAAACTCACCGTAAACAGGCCTTAATATGTAGCAAAAAAAAACCACCCAATCTGGCAACACAAGACACCAGTGTCGCACCACGGCCACCGTCGACAAAGCAGCGAGCGAGGAGGCGTTAAATGTTCATTTAAACGGGTTTCTTGACGAGGTCGGTGAGGATGGGAAAAATCTTACATTTCTGTGCAAACTTTGCCCGTCGATAAAATAATTGTTGTCTGTGGTTGTATATGGGCTGTGGCAATAATAATAATAAAAAAAAGAAGAAGCAGCTGGAAAAAAGCATATGGAAAAAAGAACTATGAACTAGTTCATTTTAAAATGTGTGTGAAATGAACTTTGAACTAGTTCATGTAGAAATTGAACTTTCCCAACACTGTCTATGGCACTAAATTAAGATCGTGGCATGAAAGTTTGCTGTGATGACTGGTGATCACTGTAGACAATCACAGACATGTTGAGCGCGTGAATGCAGCGATATCATCATTGCATCATTTCTGCACACTTTCATCATAACTAATGTTTTCATCATAATTAACAGTGCAAACATATATAAATAAGAGATTAGTTGATTCTAACAGGAGATTTGGCGAGAGTCCAGAACTCTGATTGATTGCTGATTGATTGATAGCTCTAGCGTGCAGCAGTTTGATTGACAGCTATTGTAAACAGAGTGTTCTTTGACCACTTTCTATATATAATTCAATCCATTTTAAATAACATATTAATTACAGTTTACACCATACGAAGAGAAACAATGTGAAGTTGGTCACTGGTTTGATTTACTGATAGGACAAAGAACATCTGACATGAATCATTACATCAGAAATCACTGGTCACAGGTCAGGCATCAGTGAACAGGTATACTTGCATGTTGTGGCAAGTCCATCTCATAAAAGCCTGCAAAGTCCGCGCTGAGTTTGTGGATTGATTTACTAAAGAATCCAGTGAATTGTACCAAATTGGAATAATGTTCAACTGAGACATTCACATTTGTTGAAAATAAATATCCACACTCCTAGCATTAGGATCCTTTGGAAGGTAATGTTATTTTTAGTTCAGTGAGTGACCCTGTGCTCTTCTCTTTTCCTCATCTTACTTACTCCAGTGGGCCAGTTGATTTTCTTCTGCAGAGGCAGTCTTTCACTACCTTATGTTATAAAGATGTTCTAGGATGAGTCATGGGGACGTTGCAGTGGATAAGACACATGCCCGTGGTGTGAGAGACCCGGGTTCGAATCCACTGTGAGACACCAATGTGTCCCTGAGCAAGACACTTAACCCCTAGTTGCTCCAGAGGCGTGCGACCTCTGACATATATAGCAATTGTAAGTCGCTTTGGATAAAAGCATCAGCTAAATGAATAAATGTAAATGAGTCGTTCACTGGGCCTGGTAACAATAAAAGCTGATTTTGGACCAACAAGGAAGTTTTCAGTTCTGATATTATTCTATTATAAGAATATTATATTTATATAATATATATAATTATAATATGATGTTATTATTATTATTAATATATGATATTATTATTATAATATGATGACCTCTTAAATGTTAAAACCTCAAGGAAAACTTGATTTTTCAGTTCATGACTGCTTTAAAACAAGGGGGGAAATCACACCAAGCTGCTTCATCACAGACCAACACCTGATCACTTGTCAATCAACTCTCTCCATTACCATACACGCACCACTCATCTACTGCCAGATCCTGATATCAGACACTCCGTATAAACAGACCTCCATGTGACCCAAGATCAAATGGTCACGTAGCCTTTAAGATGCATTCTTGCTCCTTAATCCCCCTTAAGGCCCTTGCACACTTGAGTCCGAAATTCGCGTCTGAAATTTTCACACGTTAAAAAATAAATACGACCTTGCGTTATATCAATCGCACTTGCACACCGCCTAAAAAATTGGATTGGGTTCAATTTTCTGTTTTGTTTTGCATCCGTAGCAAGCAGTTTGAATGGTGTTTTGACAATTCAGAGCCACCGAATCACGAAAACGAAAAAACGCATACGGAAATGACTCGGTGTGCAAAGGCCTTTACTGTACTGAATTTTTTTTTTTTGTCACTTTCAAGAACACTGCACAGTGTTTCACAGATTTATCCATATAAACAGATGATGCCTCCATTGTGTGAGTATTCTCACACCCCCTCTCCCCATATGGCGTACTGTCAGAAAATGAGTTAAGTTACAGCTGTGACAAATATCTCAAGATGTCATCGTAACCTCAGCTCCACACTCATAGTTTTTATTATGCACAGCCCGCACACTAAGTGGCGTGATTACAGGGTAGATGGCTTAGAAATGTTTGTTTACTGGCTGTGGCTGGGCCGCCCTATTGCCCCTCTCACCCCCTCACAGTCCTGACCTCACGCCTGCCTGTACCAGGCGAAATGTCGGCACTCTGGCATTCGTCTTGGTTACTATGGTGATGCAGGCAAGGCAGTATGTGGGTTGTGTGAATGTACACCAGTCCCTATCATTTTATTCAGCTTCAGCAAAAGATGGATAAGACCCAGTGCTTTCATAATATCCTCCAGCAATCGTGAACTCATCTGTAATTAGCATAATACAGTATGTTGATTTGGAGGACTGTTTGTAATTGCTCTAAATGTTCAAAAGTACATCCAAGTAAATTTTTTTTTGACTGGTGCAATAATTGTGAATAGTTATCATTATTGATTCATAGTTGTTTGTCCAGATGATTAAGTCCCTTCCCTTAAGGAGAGGTTCTTCTCCACCTTGCTCTGAAATCGGAGGACAGATGAGTTTTCCAAATCTTCTGTTTCCAGGAAGCTTCGGGCTGGACTCGCTCACAGCAGGCAGGAGATAGACAAAACCAAGCTAGCAGACAAGAGACTCTTGCATGAAGTCTGATCATAACGTTTGGTGTGATGGAGCCGTGACATATCCTGATGATATAGGGAAGCAGTGGGATCTAAACACACACACACGCACACCTAGAACTACTACACATCCCGAACACAAGCACATTCATTCATGGTGGTTCTCTGTTCCCGCTCAGTGACTTTAATGATGTGTGCCTCAGCGTCTGTAATTAAAACACATGTGCCAGAGTGCTCATTAAATTAAAGCTCTGTTCTGCACAACAGTAACGTTGCGTTTTCCATGTGGCATCCTGGTCGAAGGCAGAAGGATGAAGGCTATATTTAACAGTTTCTCTGAGTGACAGCACAGCAAGGTTCTGTAGGTATAAACATTTTATTCCAGCTGGAACTGTTAATCCTGGAGAGTGTTAATTTGCATACAGTAAAGTCTTTGAACATTCATCTTCATTTACTCCCTGTATTCATTTTCCTGCAGTTTTGTCCCCTCCATTGTGAATCAAAATCATCGTAATTGTCCAATATTGGATCTACCTTTCAATTTTGTGGATTTTTTTTATTTTTTTTTATGGAAGTGTGAACTGAACTGTGTGGATCTTAAGGAGTATACAGTAGCTCTGTGAAGTAATCCAGTGCTTACAGTGTTGGAGAGCTTTCATCTGGCATAAGAGGATACTGCGAGGATACTGCTCTTGTGCTGCTGCTTTTCCCTTTTCTATAGTGTTGACTTTAGTTATATCTACTCTATCGTTCAAAAGTTTGGGATCAGTATGATTTGAAAGAAATCGCTTGTATTCAGCGTGGATATAAAATTAAGTATAAAACTAATCGAAGGTAACAGTAAAGACGTATGATCCTGCTAAAATATTTCTGTTTCAAATGATTGTTCTTTTCAGTTTTTAATAATCAAAGAATCCTAAAAAAATATATTTTTGTTTCCACAAAAATATTAAACAGCACAACTGTTTTTAACATTAATAATAATAGAAATAATTTTTGAGCACTAAATCAGCATATTAGAATGATTTCTGAAGGATCATGTGACTGAAAAATTCAGCTTTGCCATCACAGGAATACATACATATATATATATATATATATATATATATATAAAGAAATAAATATAGAAAAGTGTTAATTAAATTATAAAAGTACTACTGTATTTTTGATCAAATAAATGCAGCCTTGGTGAGCATAAGATCCTTCTTTCAAAAACTTTTTGTCTTTTCTTTTTAAATGTAGTAACCCTAAACCTTTGAACAATGATGTATTTCTGTAGTGTTTTTTTTTTTTTTTTTTTTTTTTTTTTTTTTTTTTTAGATATTTGGGGCAATTTAATATACTTTATCTTATTTATATAATTTGCTTTTAAAATTTTCCTCACCCATTTGCAGTCAAGCAGATTTTAAAAAGTATTGTAATGTAATATTTAAAATGCATATTTTCCACACTATTTTTTACTGAATGATGAATATTTAATAATTCACATTTATACATGGCAATAGATATTCTTAACCAACTTTATTTATCTTAAATCTTTATGAAAATTCCACACAGAGATTTCTATGACCATTTT